TCTGGGCAAGTCGGACGCAGGCCGGCCGGGCCAGGGCGCTATGGGTCCAGGGGCGGCCAGGGGCGCGAGCGGCCGTAGACTTGACTGTTGTAGTTCCGGGCTTCTGTCGTTGTTGGCCGAGCCCGCTGGACGTGCAGACAGAGACGTCCGGGATAAGTTGTTTTCGGCGAATCCCAATGAAGGCAGCCCACGCCACCGCCACGCCAAATTTAATTAATTGCTCTCCGTTTTGGCTCGGCGAAAAACGAGGCCAGCGACGTCGCTCCAGACGCTGTCGCGTTTTTAATGGCGCCTCCGAGGAATGCTCCGGAATGCTGCGGGACACAATCTGTCTCCGCGTTCTGCTTGAAAGCAATCAGCGGAATTAAAGCCATTAGAGTACTTTCCGCCGTGCGCGCGGCAAGGCCGGCGAGGCCGGCAAGCGCCGGCAGGGCCGGCAGAGGCCCGAAAGGGACGCTTCCCTTCCTTGACGTCCCGCGGGCCATGACGCTGGGCCAGCACCGGCCCCCGAAAAAAAAAGTAACGGAAACGCGATCTGGCGATCACTGCTCATTAAATCGAGCTGCTGAGCCGAAGCGGGCCGAAGCCCTATCGGGGACGAGTTAGTCAATGTCATTGGAAAGGGATGGCACTATGGACTTTTTGCAAAGAAAAACGCATTGCTGGGCTACGGTCTTAGGCGTTTTTTCAGGGTCGCGGATAGATTATCGGTTATCATTCCACCCAAAACGCGAAGGAAAGTAGCCAGAGAGCCATATTTTAGGACAGACAAATGAGTTGCTCCCTTCAGTCGAACGCACAAGGTACCTTTCATTAATTTTCTCTGTGGAAAGTGAGCTCCAGTCATGTGCTTGATTGCAGTCCAACTTCAGGAAACGAGAACCGCAAACGTGTCCACGTGGGGCGGGACGGTCAATTTTGTAATCCAGCCAATCCAGTTCGTGTGGGCAGAGGCAGCCCGGCAGCAGTGCAGGCCTGCTGGGCGGGGAGGGCGTTGCTCACCGTGAACGAAATCGAGGGGCAGAACGGCACAACACAAAGCCAACGGCGAGCGGAACGCTGTATTTGTAATCTTTGAGTGAATGGCGAGGTAAATAGTTTAGGCATAGCGGGAGTTGGCTGTCGGGCCGCGCAAACTTTAGGGTTATTCCGCAGCAGGTCTCTCCCTTTTGTCCCTCTGCTGCCACTGTAAATTAGCATGCCTCGCGTTGCGTTGCGCCCTGATGGGCCGTTGGCCGGCCTACGGACCCTGCAGGGCCAGTAGTGCCTGTAGGGCCTGTAGGGGCGCCGGTATAGGTCATGAAGTGACATTTCCGGCCCCATTATCTCCGGACCTTGTCTTGCACACATCGCTGTCTCCCTCTTAATGTCACGGCCCGGTCCCAGCAGTGCGCGGCCGTGTACTCTCCGAGGACGACGAGAAGGTGGCGGTGGAGGACGTCACGGAGAGGGAGGAGCATGATGGCGGCTAGGATCGCCCCAGGCGGGGCTGCGCGGCCACCACACGTGTGCACACGTCCCTGCAACGCCTCCTCGACGAGGGAATGAAGTGACGGCTAGGGCCAGGCCAGGGCCACCGCTCAAGTAGTCACGTCGCTGTGAAGAAACATGCGATATTAGCTTCCAGGGAAAGGAAAGGCTGCCCCAGCCTAGACCGCCCCAGCCCAGCCTGCGCGAGGGCCCGAGGCACGGCGACGCTGCTGGCCCAAACCGAGGCTCCGGCGGTAAAGGAAATTAACCTTCCAGTCCCCTCGTGCGCTGCTGGCGGTGCTGGCGCTGCTGGCTGCGGGGTAGAGGGCGGCAGGGAGGCGCCGGGGACTACACGCGGGATCGGGATGTGTCTGCGGTTGGCGGGGCGGAGCGGAATTCGCTCCAAACACCTTGCTCGTCCTCCACCGCCCTTCCTTGCGAAGCACCGACGGAAAACTGGAGGAGTATGATGCACGAATGGATGAACGGGATGATTGGAAAATGAATGGAGAATGAATGAAAAATACATGAAGAGCGAATGGAGAATGGCAGGGAAAAGCATCAAGAATAAATATGAAATGAATGAAGAATGAATATGATGGATTAATGAATGAATCGAATGAACGTGCCCCACGAATTCAGGCTGTGCCAGTCACGTGTGTTCGTTTGGGATTCGCACCGCCACGCCCCGTTGTGTAATTGCAATAGTTGTGCTCCTCTTCTGGCGACACGCCTCCTCTACGTGCGTACCGCGCGTCGCCCCGCCCCACGCGCGGTGGCGCCGCTGCGGCGTCGTGGAGAGGGGTGTGATTTGCCCGCGGGAAAGTCGCACTCGCAGAAAGGAGCAGTGAGGCAGCTCATGTAGAAGCCTGCCTTTGCCATGGCGGCGACAGCCTTCCCCGCCACTGTGGTGCCGAATAAGGGAGAGAAAGAAGCGTCGGACGGCCAGCGTCCCGTTCGACGCGCACCGTGTGTCCGAAAAATCGTTTCTCGTGTCTCAGTCTCACTCATGGGGTTTCCTGCAGGGGTGCGAAGGAGGCAGAAGCGGATCCGGGCCAAGGCCGTGGAGGCGCTGGAGGACACTCGCCGCTGCGCCGCAGATAGCACGCCGGGGAGCGCGGAGTAATCCGCTACAGCGCCTCATCCGCAAGGCGCCCTGCCGCCCTGCCGCCCTGCGCGCCCTGATGAGACTATTGTATGCTGGAGGAATCGCTCCATTCCCAGGGAAGAATGGGCGCGGCAGAGGCGAGGGGAGGGGCGGCAGCATGCCTCGGAGTGATACTAGACCCAGCCTCCATCTCCGGCTGCGACGCCGCCACCGGCCTTGGTTTTGGTCTGTCGAGTTTTGAACTCCCTCGCAGAGTCGCAGGCATGCGGATGGAACGCAGACTTGTCGAACAAAAGCTGTGCAACTTCTCCTGACGTCGGCGCGCGCGTCGGCGCAGGTGGGACGGACTGCCGAGTCATCATCGCCGACGACAAGTCTGCCGCCAGCGAGACGCGACGCGCCGCGCGGCTCTCAAACTTTCCGTCCGCCTGGAAATTCGTCGTCTTGCGAGATCGCTTGTCTGGCCGAATCAGCCGCGCCCGCTGTACATAATGACATTGTTGCTCCGTGCCTCGCCGTCCTCGCCGTCCCCCGTCTGACGCCCCTTTCCGCCTGCAGCGCTGGCTGCGCTAATTGTCAGAAACTCGCCACGGGTCTCGCCTCGGCACATTTTGCGAAAGTCCAGGCAAATTTCTTGCGAGCGACGCGAGGCGGAACGATGGGTTGGCCGGCCGAAAGCGGTTTCCACCAGATTATTATTAATTTTGATGAAGACTGTTTTTAATTAAGGTCGGAAGGAAAGCAGCGGCGCGAAATAACAGAGAGAGCAGTGTAGAACTAGAAAGTATTGCATTGCGTGGGGCTGTTCTCCTTGCCACTGAAGTAAGGTTGCTTTACTCCCCTTACTTCTAGAAGGACGATCGAGCGGCGGACGTAGGAGAGGCCAGAAATTGTCACTCCACAGAAGCAAACGCCTTCGCCAACTTGACACACCGTCCGCCATGCCAGCAGTACAAACAGACATCACCGAAAACGCCGCGGCGCCTGGCGGCCCGCCGACGCGCCGGTTCGACCAGTGCAACGCAGCGGCCCCGGCAAGGCGACGCATCGCCCTTCGCACCACCCTGCGCAACGCCGGGCAGCATGTGAACGCGGTCCTCCTTCACCGTCATGGCGTGGCAGGCAGTGTCGTTCATCGTCGCACTGCAGGCCGTGTCCGCTGCGCTACCGCCGCCTACCTCACTCCACCTCGACGTCATGCTGCTCCAGATCGCGGACCGCTTCTTCCCGTCGGGCCGGCTGGTGGTTGTGTCCGAGGTCCTGGGGGGCTACGCCGCCGCCGAGGTGCTCCGCGACGGCCGCTGGCCTGTCATCGTCCTGGGCCCCCGCGGCCGGCGTCACGGCTTGGACCACCTCCCTCTGTGCTGCCGCTGGGGCTTGCAGGGAGAGCGCATGGGCGGGGTCGTCCTGATCGGCAACTCCACGCACCAGGTCAAGAAGATGTTCTCCAGGATGCGCATCGAGTACGCGCCCCTGTGGAACCGCACCGCCCCCATCGTGCTGCTGATGGTGGATCGGACTCGACTCCACAATATTCTGGCCTGGATCTTCGAGAGACACGTGTACAACGTGGTTCTTGTCAGGGAGCTGCAGGACCGCGCCCTGCTGTACGCACCGCTGTCTCCAGGAAGCCCGGTACTCTGCAACCGCGAGGTCCGTGACCTGACCTTGGTCGACGAGTGGCTGCCCGCGGAGGGCGTGTTCGCGCGCCACCAAGCGGACGTGTTCGCCCCCAGGCCGGACCCCAGAGCTGTGTGCGCACGGTGCCCCATACGAGCGACGCGCAACGCTGGTGTGGTGGACACCTACGAGTTTGAGGTGGCCATTATCACCCACATCACTACCCTGATCTTGGAACACCTGGGCTGCACCGTGGAGCTGGATTACCATAATAACACTGAAGTCTTCCTGACCAACGCGAGCACCAAGAGTTCTTGGGGGCGGATCAAGCACGGCAAGGCTGACCTCATCATGCGGTACTTGTGGATGACCTACAACCGCACCCTCCACTTCACGCCCTCGGCGGTCTTCGAACTGGAGCAGCTGTACCTGTTCGTGACAGGCACGGGCGTGCAGGACAACTTGTTGGCCTTCGAGACCCTGGTGTTGGTGATGGTAGTCATGACGTCGGCCGCTAACCAGGGCCTGATCGCTCTCCGCCACCGCCTTGGTCTGAGAGACACGCCCGCGTCGGCGTCCTTCATGGCGGCGGCCTTTGGTGCCTGGTCGCTGTACGCCGACCAGCCCTCACCGTCGTCGCAGTCCGCGGACCGGGGCGGGGTGTGGGCGTCGGCCTGGGCCGCCTGGACCACACTGGCCCTCACGGCCGTCAGCCTCAACTGCATGCGCCGGTGAGTGCGGATGGCTGCCACTCGACGCGGGCCTTCAGCTAACGCTCTTGTTTGGCAGGTCGCAATACGCAATGGCCGCCATCGGGCCGCGCGAGAAGTACGCCGACACCATCCAGGATCTCATCGACGGTAACGTCCCTGTGGGCATCCACGATGGCGTCATGTACGCCATGCTGATGGACAGCATCTCCAACACGTCCGAACACCGGTCGCTGGTCTTGGTGGACTGCTTCAGGCACGTTCAGTACGTAGAGGACTGCCTGAAGCACCTGCTGGAGAGCCACGGCCGTTTCGCGCTCATGCTGAACCAGCCCAAGATGTTCAACAGTGTATCGGCCAAGCACCGCGAACGCATCCACCGCATCGACGCGCCCTTCGCCAGGACCCCCGTCGTTGTGTACTTCAGCAGGGACTTCCCGCTGGTCGACGTTTTCTCGAGGTAGCGCCAGAACAGTACCAGGTAGGTCCTGGGCTTCCCGCCGCCGTCGGCTGACAACCCTTTCTCCTGCGCAGGGTCATGAACCGGTTGCAGAGCTCGGGCATCGTGGAGCAGGTGTACCTTCGCACCATGAACTTCGGCGTGGCCGAGTTCCGGGAACAGGTGGTGGCCCAGATGTCCGGGCCGTACCCCATCAGCCTGTCGGTACTAGCACCCGTGCTGCGCTTCCTGGGGCTCATGCTGCTGCCGCTGCCCGTGCTCTGCTTCCTGGGCGAGCTGCTGCTCGCCCGCGTTCTGGACAGGCACCACCGAATGTTGCCGCCGCCCCGGACTTTCGGGCCGCCGTTCTCACTCAGCATCGCCACACTCCACGTCTGAAAATGACAATTGATTCTTGAATTGACTGGAGAGGGCTCCGTGTTTCTGGTAGTGGTAATGCGATGCTAATTCACAAAGCCTTCATCATTGCACAACTTACCTTTCTTTTGTTCATCCCACAGTTCAGGCAACCCGATGGGCTTGATGACTCGCCGGAAACCAACTCTTCCCAAACAAAAGAAAAACACAAATTTTCATCATTTCCATACTTACTTTCGAAACTTGAGGCCGGGCAAACGGCGTCGCGGCACTCATCGGCGGCCTGGGCGATGGCCTTGGCGGCGGCCTTGGTGGAGGCGGTGCGGCTCGCAAGTTCACCTCAATTAAGACGGGGCAGGGTTAGACCATGTGATGGACTGATCAAAGTTTCATGTAATACTCGAGGAACTCCGGGTCGAGTCGAGCCAAGCCGAGCCGGCCCGGGAGTCGAGCCGAGCCCTACGTCGACCACTTCGGTTCGGGGCCTAGCGTAGGCGGGGCAGGAGAGGGGGCGCGCACTTTGAGGAGATTCTAACGTTTCCGGGGTGAAAATTGCATTAAACTTTAATAAGGACTTGCTTGTCGTCAGCGCATTACCAGCGGGGCGCCTAGAGAGCGGCTCGACGCCATCGCCCCCCCTCTGCGCTGCAACAACTCATGAGCGCTACACTGCGAGGCGTCCGCAGCGTGGCGCGCCTTGCCGACGCTGGTCAGTAGTATCCGGCTGGACACTGCAGCGACGCCCCCCAGCCTCCACCCAGTCCGCCTTCGCCTCTCCGTCGCCTTCCTGGCAGTGCGACGCAGCGACCCAAAAATACGTGACAGTTCCATTGTCCGCATCGGCGGTGCCGTCCACGTCCTGGATAGCACGTCCTCAGCCGGAGTGCGCGTGTCTGTGTGCCTTTGAGTGTGTGTGGGCGCGCGTGTGTGAGCTCCGTCCGGAATAGGTGGCACCCCATAAGAACGGGTCTAGTAAAAGATAGCAATTCCTGGTTCAGCACATTTTTTACTTGGGGAATGGGGCACAGTTTCAGCCTCGGCTGATCTCACGTCCACGTCTTTCGTGCAAAAAGTGTTGTTGAAAACATTATATGCTGCAACAACAAAACTATGAAATCATAGCTACAAAGTTCAAACAAAGCTTCACTGTTTTTCTTGCGCGTATCGCGAGTACCAAGGAAGGACATATATTTTTTGTGGAAGCAGGCACCCCAAAGTGTTGGTCAATATTGTTGGCATGCGCAGGCGCGGTTCTTGGGCTTCGACGACTGCACACAGTGCCGTGGCACTGCCGTGGCGTAGGGCCGGCGGGGCGGGGCGGCGCCGACAGACAGATCCATCCGAGAAGCCCGCGCCGTGCCGCCCAAAGCCCGCAGTCACTGCACGCCAGTGCACGCCAGTGCACGCCACGCTAAGCTCTGCGAATACGCCCCGCGTCTACTCGTCCGCATTGTTATTTTATTAATCGGGTTACGCTTCACTCGCCCCAGACTAGACCCCCTCCACGCTGGTGTTCGTTCATTCTGGTGTGCGTGTGTGTGCGCGCGCGCACGTGTGTGTGTGTGCGTGTGTGTGTGTGTGTGGGCGCGTGTTTTGCTTAGCAGCCGCGGTATATTCGGTCGGCGCAAATCTTCCACGCGGATAGCGGCAGGAGGCTTCGCCGGTCGCGCCCCTTCGGCGTAACAAAACACATTTTGATGAAGGGAAAGAAAACAACGCGTCGAAAACAAACACGCCATGTGCGTCTCGTCAGCGATTAGCGCAGTGTTTACACACGGACCGGACCAGACGGACCAGCATATTCGGCAGTGTAATGCGTTTGATTCAAGCCGGGCCGCTGTCACTCAGAAGCCGGGCTGGGGCGACGCCGGCGGCGTGTATGTGTGGGTTTCTTTGTCAGACTAGTGTGTGTGTGTGTTATTGTGCGTGCGCGCGTGCGCTGAAGGGCAGCAAGGGTGGCCTCATCCCTTGATTAGCGGTAGTGCTACGGTGGCGTCTTGCCGAGCCAAAAGATGTCGAGCCTCCCTTCCCCCTTCCCCTCCGAACCGCAGCCCGGCGAGAGGTAGTAGTTCGCTAATGGGGTCCCCGCCGGCCTCCGTCCCCACAGAGCACCGCAGAGCGCCGCAGAGGGCGCAAGATGGACGGGCGGTATGGTGAGGCTAGATTGGACGAGGAGCGGGTAGCCCGGCGTGGCCCCGGCCTCGCCCTAGCCTCGCCCTAGCCTCGCCCTAGCCTCGCCCTAGCCGTGAATCCCGAAAGGGTGAGGCTTAGAGCGCCGACAAGTGGCGCCCAAAGTGTCTGAAGGCGCCGTTATGCAAACTGGCCCGCCCGGCCCGAGCCGGGTCACCACTTCCCTCCACGCGGCTGGAGCGCGGCGCGACAGACCGATGGCGCCTGACGGCGGCCAGGTAGGCAAGCCCGCTACGCGCGGCTGTGCGCCGGGAGGGCCCGCCCCGCACGGCGCTCGGCCGACCCGCACGCCTCCGCGTTGGGGCGCTTGAGTCCCGACCGCTCTCCACAGCGTCTCCGCCATGCTCTCCGTCTTTTGAACCCTCTCAAATCCGGTCCCGCGTCGTGTCGTGCCCGGGCGCGGTCGGGACCTTTGATGGGACGATCCGTGTTGATTTTGTCGGTGGAGCCGCGCGCTGCGCGGAGGTCGCTGCCTGTCATAACAATCCAGCCCCGCACCGGAGCCCGCACGGCAGCTCGCCGCCGTCACGCCGCCCACGGCCGAGCCGACCTGGCGGCTGCCGGTGTTACATTAAACCCACGCTTCGAGTCCTCGGCCATAATGGAACGCGATGCGGCTGCGGGCAGGCTGTGGGCGGAGTAGGACTGCAGGTCGCACTGCTTGTAGGTCACCACAACGAGACGACCCGCCCCGCCATAAGCAATCCCCGAACCGCGTGACACGTCACTGGTATCATCGCTGCGGCCCGGCGCGGCCCTGCCGGGCCCGTCGGCGCACAGGCGGCCTCTGCCAGCGGCACTCTGCCAGCTCCTTGTAAGCACGGCGCCGCGGCAAGGACGGCGAGGGCCACGCCACCCCGCGCCGGGCCGCCCAGTCGACTGCAACGAGTTTGGTTGCCGGTTACGCCGCAGTGGCTGCGCAAGTGTCGCCGCATTCCGGGGCCACGGCCGTTCTGCTGTTCGGAAAGGGGGAAGAAGAGGGGGCTTTTGCGCCGGCGAGCAATTCGTCGTTAAAACCGCTGGCGGCTGTCTGTCCGCGAAACGGGAGCACCACCACCAGCACCACTCTCGTCGAGGGGGCTCGGCGCGCCTCTCGCCCGGCAAATCTCAAGGGCGGGGGAGCTGAGGCACCGAGATGGGGGCGGGGCGGGAACCGAACCACGGACGGGTTCGCGCGCTGCCGGCTCCGGGCTGTCGGGTCGGAGTGGAGAGGATTCAGTAGGCAAACAATCGAGGGTCCACGCTCCGCCTGGCCCTTGGCCTGGCCCGCCCGGCTCGCCTGGCTCCGCCCGAAAGAGCGAGCCGAGAAAGGAAGAAAGACGCGCCGAACAACAACTACTCCCATTTCGGATGGCCGGAATTTCTGGAATCGGATCAGGATGAAAGAGATCGTCGCCTGCAGCCGAGGGGCGGGGCGGGGTGGAGCGGCACCCTGCTGCCAACTCCACAAATTAATTAGACCGCTGCGAAGTCATCAATTATTTTGCCAGAGTCCAACTTCCTGGGCGGGAAGGCCGCGAAGTGCGTGTCCGCGGCCGGACGCCGCCCCGACGGACCGACGGGCCGGCAACACGCAGCGCCTCGCAGCGTCGGCCGGCGGGCCTTCGACCGAGCTTGACCCGCGCGGCAGAAACAAATATTTCCTGAGATGTAGACCGTCCGTCCGTCCGCCAGCCCCGTCGCCAGCGAGCGCCGCCGCCAGCCCTCTTGGGCTGCACGCTTTCCTGTTATTATCTGGGGGATGTTAGTAAACAAGCTTGTTTTGAAGCTTTCGCGGAGCGACTTGATTCTTTATCGACATCACGGCGCCAAGTTGGAACGGGCTCGTCCCGTCCGCGTGGCAACCGGCAAGCGGCGAGCAGGGCGGACAACCCCTGCACCGTAATGGGCGAGTCGTGTTGCTGGCGGCACTGCAGTGCTGCCACGCTGCCGTCAGTCAATCCCACCGACCCACGCGGCTAGGCCGGCCAGGCCGCACCAACCCCTCGCCGAATGAGTGGCGGCCAGCAGTCCCTTTCTCTCTCTCTCTCTCTCTCTCTCTCTCTCTCTCGTCTGTCTGTCTGTCTGTCTGTCTCTCTCTCTCACCAGAAGGCCCAACAGAGGTGCGCGAGAGAGACAGAGCGACAGGGCGGAACCAGCCTGCAAAGCGCCTCTATGGACGGTCGCCTTACTTCGCCTTGCTTCGCCTAGCTTCACCTAGCTGCGCCTCGCCCGGGTCTCGCCGCGTTCCTGACATACTCCATGATACATTATTATTGGTTATGAGCCCCGGCCGGCCGGATTCGGTCCCAGGCTGCCGCCAGGCTGCCGCCTCGCTGTCGAGGCATTTGGGACACCGAGGAATGTAAATCACATGCCTAGGTGGCGGCAGTGGCGTCAGGGCGCCCCGCGTGCCACAGCCGGCCGATATCAGGTTAGATACGCCCCGCCGTGCTAACTGGCACACTGCTTCGCCTTCGCTTCGCCCAGCCCTCGGGCGCGCCCTGGCCCGGCCCTGGCCCGGCCCGCTGCCAACTCGGCGTGTACACTTGGGTACACACCACTTGCTCGGCTTGATGCAGTGCCGGCACTCGAGAGTTACGGAACTCAACGCGCTCGATTTTGCGCGACTTTATGGAGCGAGAGTTGTACCAGCGTCGTCGCGCACGGGCAGCGACTTTCAATCCAGGTTTCGACGTCAGCGAAACTAAAAGCCAACCGCCGGTGCGCTGGCTTTTGCACCCTTCATTCGTGCATCTCTTCGCAGGGTCCCCGACGCATGACGGGGCTCCACCCCATACACATTCCCTGCTCTACAGTCAGGGCGAGCTCAGCGGGTGGCGCTGCTCGTT